TTTCCGAAAAATTGGTATCGACTTCACTTTGCTCCATTACCCATTGAACGAATTGCCGGCGCTTTCCGTGGTCTGCTGGTTTAAGCTCCTGAATTAACTGAATCTTGTACGCATGAAGGTGGAGGTCTTTAGTCAAAATTCGCTGCGTAGTGCTTCGTGAAATTTGAAGTTGTTGAGAACGATGTCGAATTGATGTTTTCGGGTTTTCGGGAACACTCTCGTTTACAGCAGCAATGTTTTCAAGAGACCAACCGGTACGTTGACGCAAAGGATTCTTATTATCCATAATTGACCCAGTTTCTTCAAATTTTTTAACCACTCTTCGAATGGTTGACACATTAGGTGCACTTTCAAAATTTTAGAGTTGCCACTTGCATGAAAAAAAAATATTCCAATTTTAAAAAGTGCACTCTTACTGAGACACCCGTTATTACCATTCGGACTTATTTATAAAAGCAATAGATCTATATAATAAGCATGGGCGTTTTCAGTTTTTAGCTGCAAAGGTCACATAACCGATATTGAGTTTTCAAATTGTTATTGAAAATTGTTTACAGAATTCGATATCAGTGGTAATGGTTTACTACTGAATACGCAAACGACAACCGAACCATTACCGCAAACTGCAAAACCAGTATAAAACATTTGTTTTACGAATTACTTTACTATTATTAAAGGTAGTTTATTAATTAATTACTATTTTAAGTTGGCGATTGTTCTTCAGGCTTAACTAGGCTGAGGACTAGCAGAAAAGTTTTTTTAAGTTAGAACTTAAATTCCAAGTAGCAGATTTATAGCACAACGTTTGTTAACAATATTTACAAAAAGCAAGGTACACGGAATTGTCTTTTATTTATCAAAGAGTGACCATATTTTAATAGCCTTACTCGGCATTTTGACAAAAATTTCTTACAAATATGATTAAGAGAGTCTGAATCAACTTAAATTATATTATAATATATTTTACTGTACACATAATTTTCTAAATTAAAACTAAGGCAAAAAGTAAACAAAAATGTTGCATTAATTTTATAGATAACTTTTGTAAAGTAAATATTTTCAAGTAGAATAATATTGGTGTCACAGGTAATAATAAAAATATTTAATCTAAATATAATTACAGCCAAACATTACCTCCTACAAGTTCAAGGTTGGTACTGCAGTATCAACTAGCGTTCTTTTATTGTCAGCTTGGGGTATAAAATATGATTTTTCAAAATGTTCGGTGCAATTGGTGCTAGTCCGTTTAGGTATCCAAGATTCATGGTTTCTACAAGCTACAATCCAAGTTTGCCGCCTAAGAGGATCTTTTGGAAATCTGTAAAAACAAACCAATAATAGAAAAAAATACCACTTTTGTAATACTTTATTGTAATTAGCGCGGCGGACAATTCCTTGCCCTAAAACCCTCTCAGAAATGAGCGGAGCCCTGAGCCCAGCAGTGGGACGTATATAGGCTGTAACTTTACTTTTTACATATCTATTCATTGAAGTGTTTGTTTGTAATTTCAAAATACCAGCCTTTTACTAAATGCATATGAAAGTTTAGACTGTATTTATAACAAAAGAAAAGCACAATTTCTAAAAATTGTCTGCTTGTTTCAGCTTTTAGTTGACACTAGCAGACAGCTGATGTTATAAAGAGTAACACAGACTACTTTTATTTTAGAAAATGTATTGGGATTCCCCTCAAAAAAAAATTGAAACCTATAAAATCCATTCGTATTAAACAACTTGGCGAGGTCGTGGGAACTGCTATTATGTAATTATTATGTCATAATTAAACTATAATAATTATGACATAATATATTATAAATAATATCATAATTAAACTTTAACTTAATTTTAAATACATTGTAGTTTATAAAGAAATATATGTTTCGGTATTAATTTTTATATCGATATCAAATCGATAATTTTTGCTTTGCTTTATGTATCGATAATCGCCTTTTTAAAATAGATTTAACGTTGTACCATCTCTAGACAAGCCAAACTATAAGCTGTCCGTGGAGGTGAGAGAACAGGAGAACGATCGCTGTAGAAAATAGTGTCCCAGAAATATGGACAAAATAATTGAGGCGCTGCGATCGCTAAGTTGCGCACTAGTTTGAAATGATTATAATATTCAATGAAACAAATAAAATAACGAAATTATTATTATTGGGGGTTATTGATAGAGTATTCACATCTGGTTGGGCTGAATAAATATATGAAACGAAATAATAAATATATATTTATATATATTTAATATACTAACATAAATAAATATATATTATTATACATAAATAAACAAAAGCCCAACCAGATGGAAGCCCTCGGCAGACCAAACCGCCGAGGGTTAGGGTGAAAGGGAAAGAAACCGGCGGACGATGCAGGCGGTATCAAGGAGAACCGCCTTCTGCATTTGAGCCCGGAGCGGTCCGTCACGGAGTCCCAGGTGCCTCAGATGACCAGAGAGGCTGACTGGGATTAATCCGTTTGCAGACACGACTACAGGAATAATTTTGGTCGGCAGACCACCCCACATGTCGGTCACCTCGTGAGCCAAGTCCAGATATTTTGATTGCTTATCTATTTCGACTTTCACGAGGTTCTCGTCATACGGAATGGTAATATCGACCAAAAATATCCTTGACTGTGCTCGATCCATCAGCACTATATCAGACTTATTCGCAAGAATAGTCCTGTCTGTGATGATGCCCGGTCCCAGTAGAGCCTGGCGCGGTCATTTTCGAGCACGGCTTCCGGCAAGTACTTGTAATACGGCAATTTTCGGTCCACGAGATCGTATTTCAGAGCGAGCTCCTGGTGTAGAATTCTGGCTACTAGGTTGTGCCTGTGCAAGTACTCAGAGTTAGAAAGCGCCGAATAACCGGAGATGACATGCCTAAGTGACTCACCAGGATGGCGACAAGCCCGACAGATGTCGACGGTGCCATCCTTTAGGATGTATCTCCGATAGTTGTAGGTCCTAATAATCTGATCCTGTATTGCACAGACAAAACCCTCGGTTTTCCCGAAGAGGTCACCAAAACGTAGCCAGTTGAGGGAGGCGACTGTATCTACGAAAGGCTCATGTAGAGCTCTGTAGTACTTCTCGTGGAGCTCCTTCTTCTTCCATACGGTCTCCCGGTCGGAAATGCTAAGCACTGCTGGGTCCTGCCATTGCTCGTTGGCTAAGGATAGAGGGGTAAGCCCTTTGTCGCAAGAAATTACGTCATTTTCGAATGGATCATCTGATCTCGCCAGGAAGTAATGACGGAGGCTGCACACTTCGCAATTATGCATGGTGAGCGCGCTCAGGAAACCACGCCCACCATGCTTTTGCGGCAAGTACAGCCTCATTACCGACGACCTAGGATAATGCATCCTATGGAACGTCATGGTAGTGCGGACTTTTCTTTCCAGGGTGTTAAGTTCGGTCTGAGTCCACCTGAGTATGCCAAAGGTATACATGAGGACAGGCATGACCCATCCGTTATATGCTTGTGTCTTATTCACACCGGACAAAAGGCTATGAAGCACTTTGGTCAAGCGTGCATAAAACACGTCGCAAACTGACTGTTTCACACCAGCCTCATCGATACCGATGTTCTGTGACATGTATCAGTATGTTTCAGCCAAGGAAAGGGTCCTTAAGTTGACGGGCATAGGTAAATCTATGCCCTCAGAGTTAGCAAACCTTCCTCTTTCAACATGGGGGACCGCACACTTATCCGTCCCCAGCTCCATTCCAATTGAATTGCTAAATTCCCAAGTGATTTTTAGCAATTCTATAAGATGGGAGCGACTGGAGGCTAATAACTTGAGGCCATCTAGATAGAAAAGGTGGGTCACTTTTATCCCTCCCTTCCGTAGCTAAAATCCTCTCCCGGAGCCCTCCAGTAAGGTACTGAGAGGGTTCAGAGAGAGGCAGAACCAGATTGGACTCAGACTATCGCCCTGGAATATACCCCTTCGTATCCTTATGTGGTTCTCCGCAGCCATCATCCGCTCGCCCAGATGACAAAGGATCGTACTCCACTGCCCCATACACTGCTTGAGGAAGTCTCTAACTGTACAGTCAATCTTGTACAGCTCGAGGACTCTCTTTAGCCATGTATGGGACACCGAGTCGAATACCTTTCTGTCGTCTTTTCAGGCTGCGGAGAAGTTCCGACGGTTGCGTTTCACCACTTTGCCAATGACCGCGTCATTGAGGAATAGTTCCTTGGTTTCACGACCACTGCCCCGACATCCATTTTGAGCGCGTGTCATCACCTGATTTAGCTCCAGGTGACGAGTGATTCTTGCACTCAAAATGATTGAATGAATGATGAATTGATGTCAGTGTCTTACACATGGTGGGTAGACACGTGATGGGACGGTATTTGCTCGGATCTGTGGTATCCTGATCTTTAGGAACCAAATGAGTGATCCCAGTAGTGAAAAGGCTCGGGATCAACTTCTGGTTGAGAGCATCTTGGAACTGTCGGGCGAGCACAGCGTGACACAGTACGAACCCCTTCAGTCAGTAATAGTGCAGCCCGTCGAGGCCTGGACTTTTCCAGTTCGGGCCCCTACGGACCGCCTCAGCCACGTCTTCTGGCGTTATGGTGACGGGGTCCATAGGCATAACACTCGCACTCTGGCTTGCCACAACTTCCATCCATGGGCCCTCGTTGTGGTTTACGGGCTCTGACCACAAGCCACGCCAAATTGCGACAGTGTCAGCCTGATCCGGTACTAGGCCCGCACCATGTGGACCTCTAGTCGCTCCAATGATTTATAGAGCCTCTTCTGATCACTCTGGAAGAGACGATTCTGGTTGAACCACCTTGACCTCTCGCTAAATCGTCGAATCCGCTTCCCCCAAGCAGTGAATTTTTGCTTCAGGTCATCTATGCGCTCCGTTAGTTTTTGCGTGATATCCGGCTGGGACAAACTAATATTTGTCCCAGCAAACGCCATTCTAACGGTGCGCATAACTCTCGGTCTATTATTACCCGACCTGAAGCTTGTCAGTCTGCCGATAAGGGTCCATGCCTTTGCGATACGGTCCTCAATTCTCTTTTTCCAGGCAGGGATGCCGCTACTTTGTCGAGTAGCACATCCAGCCATGGGAATTTTAGCGCCAATAATGTGGCAAAAAGAATTGAGTCCGTCTCGCAAAGGTCCCGGCTGGCTTCCAAATAGTTCACCAGCATTGGGTTAAGAGCCCACACGACAGCCCTATTTCGCTTGCAAAGGGGTATGCGGGGAAGTCGCGGTCGGTTTTTGAGAGGCATGTTGCGCGTTTGCAGCATCGACCCTTCCAATATGCTCCTCATTTTTTCTAGTTCGTGGGGAACTAATCCATCATCGTCTGAATCAACCACAAATGGAATATTGACGGCAGCATCCACATATGGAATTTGCTGCGCAATTAGTGGCGCCGAATTCCCAGCCGTAGTATTTCCATTCGATGAGGGAACAGCCTCACGTCGTAGTCGTTCGAGTTCGGCGTCACCAAATATGTTGGAGCGCAGGATGTACCGAACTCGATCTGCCAGGTTTTGCTCAGTGACGGATACAGATGGCTCCAGCTAGATAATGCAGAACCTGCCCGTATCTAATAACCGGGTTTTTCGGTTCCGGGTCCGTACAGAACCGGATACCCGGTTCTTTTCGGTTCTTAATAGTAAAAAGTTCCTTATGACAAAATAGAACTTCATTAATTTGGTGCTAATGATGATAGTGATGTGTATTTAATTAATTAAATATGTTCCACTTCTAATTGTTATAAAATCATCTATATATGAAACAACAACAAAACCAGCTTATCTTCTAAACTTCATACAAATAAAATTTAGAAAAACAATTCCAAGAATTAAGGAACGAAATAAAATCAAAGAAACAAAATCAATGAGATTTATTTTCTCACAGTCTCGGGATTCTCTGATGATAATAAAAAAAAACACTTTCTAACTGTCCCTTTCTTATAAAATCAAACAAACAAAAATAATTAGATTTAATGACCATCAACACTTCCTGTCTTTCTTATTTTCGTAATAAGAGCGTAAAAATGAGAGAACGTTTAAGCTTTCATCGTTTAATGAGGACCGAAGACGATTGCAGATAAATCCCAACGAAGAAAATATGCGTTCTGGCTCGACACTTGTGGGTGGAATCGTCTTTAAATTATCAAAAGCTGTTGTGAGATAGTGACCTCTTGATCCACCATTTTCAAAAAGAGCCATTTCAAATTTAATGGTAACCTTGACTGTCGTCTAAAACAGCAGTATCACTGTTCGTCCGTATCATAACTTTCTCTTGTTCTCTGTTCAGTTCAAATTGCTTAAATTTAACCCATTGAACAAGAACCGGGTAGAACCGGGTATCATAATTTTGGACCAGGTTCTTTTAGCTAACAAGGAACCGGGTAGAACCGGGTGCGTGCTCTAGCCCCAGCTCTGCAAAAAAGCGATGCATCCGAGCCCGATATGCCAAACATCCAGTTTCTTCCCCTTTTGCCCCAAAGTACGCCCGTAGTGCGTTTGCATTCATTGTTTGTGACCAAGGCATGCGACGTGCTCCACCAGCGGCGTGTGCCGCTTGCTGAGTCCGAGAAGACCCAGCCGACACCAAGCCTTCTGGTGCGGATGATGAATGCGGGGGGCTGCTAGGTGGTCTTGCAACACCCCCGCTCAGCTGGCGGCCAGCATGCTGTCATGTACAGCGCCAGAACCAGACACGCGCTGGCAACCTCCAGGCAGCGGCCCTTTGCGCACTATCTTTCTATCCATCATCCATGATTTGATCGTCCATTAACGGGAGATGCTCAGGCCCGGCACCGTATATATACCGTATATATATACAAACGAGCCTTTGCACCCTAAATTGCGACTGCGTTGACGTAGCAGTTTTGTCACTTAACTGTTACGTCAGCGGGCGATGGGGTCGTCAATTCCTTACTATTTTATGTTTATTATTATTAACAAACTCCAGTCCGGGACAAAAAGGAGTGTTCTAATTTGTACCCCAGGTGGGACAGATATGAAGTATCAGCCGGAGAGGACACCTGAGTCTCGGTTAAAAGAGCAAGGCTGGCTTCGCCGTCTCCAGATGGTAGTTGACAGCGTTAAGATTGGAATGAAGTCTCCTGATGTTGCTAAAATTCACGGATAGCATGACAGGGTTTGCCTTGATCTTATTGCTCGCTTGCCCCCAGCAGTTTTAGTCGCGAGCAGAAATTACAAAATAAAAATATAGGTAGTTAAATGAGTGTTTACGAGTGAAACGATATTGGTTCAGACTTTTTGTTCACTTTAGTTGTTTTTTTTTTGCACCATTTAACTACACAGGGCGGCATCGCCCCGGGAAGTTTGACGAAAATGTGCGTAGTTTGACTTTGATGCATGTGTGCGTGATCGCGTGTGCTTACATTTTTAGTTTTTGGCTTCATCAATAACAAAGGCTGCGCTGTATCTACCTTTTTTACTTCATCTGAGGCAGTGTTGAATATTCTTAACTCACGTACTGTTATTTGCTTAGCAGGCGATGCTTTATGGTATGTGACTTCTTGATTGCTTGCAAGGTCTCTGTGGGCATATGTAACTAGTGCGTAATTGCTGCGTTTTGAAAAAAAAAATCAAATTCCAAAAAGTTGTTCCATAAAAGTTTCCATCCAAAACATAAACAAAAAGTTACCTTAACTAAATATATAGGTCATACAAATCTAAGCCTTGTGTCTAATCCGCCATTTGACTACTGTCGTGGACCACTCCTAACACAAGCATTTTCAAGCTTACCAGGAGTGGTTAAAAGGAATATTAGTATTGTTAATCAATAAGATTACTAATATTTTTATTTTAAAAAAAACTCTCATCATCATCATTACAGCCCTTCACAAGTCCACTGCTAAACATAGGCCTCCCCCAAGAAATGCCACAAAGCACGGTCCTGAGCCAACTGCACCCATCGACTTCCTCCATGTTTTACCAGGTCGTCACTCCATCTAGTGGGGGTCGCCATACACTACACCCACCGGTACGAGGCTGCCACTCCTTGAACCTTTTTTCCCCATCGGTTGTTGGTTCTTCAAGCTATATGGCCGGCCCATTGCCACTTCAGCCTACTAATCTGTTGGGCTATGTCGGTCACTCTGGTTCTACTACTTATATTCTTATTTCTAAGTTTATCAAGCAGGGAAACCCCGAGCATAGCCCTCTCCATAGCTCGCTGAGCGACCTTGAGCATCCTCATACGGTTAGCAGTGAATGACCATGTCTCAGATCCATAAATCATCAACGGCAAGACGCACTGGTTGTACAATATAGTTTTCAGGTTTGGAGGTATACCTGACGAGAAGATGTGTCGTAATTTTCCGAACGCTGCCCAGCCGAGGATTGAATCCGTTGATTGATCTCTCGGTCGAAGTTGGACTCGTCAACAACTTCGAGCATAGTGCTCCCAACAACTACCGGCATAGGACATGGACATTAAACATGGTCTTTGATTTGTCCGTGTTCATCTTAAGACCTATCCGTTAGGAGACACTATTGAGGTCATTAAGCATAGTGCTTAGGTCCTCCAGCGATTCTGCCATAATTACTGTATCGTTGGCAAATCGAAGGTGAGTGATGTACTCGCCATTGATGTTAATACCGTATCCCTTCCAGTCCAGTATCTTGAAAACGTCTTCAAATGCTGCGGTGAAGAGTTTATATAACGTCACTCTGTCTTACACCTTTCTGAAATTGGATAGGTTTTATACTTCGGTTCCGTATTCGGATAGCCATCGTAGCCCTACTGTAGAAACACTTCAGCATTTCGATTTACAGACAGTCAACTTGGCATCGCTGAAGGGACTAGCACCGCCAAAATTCCGACGGAATCAAAGGCTTTCTCATAGTCCACATACACCAGCCAAAGTGGCAGATTGTACTCATCGGTCTTATGTACAATCTGCCGCAGGGTATGTATGTGGTCTATGGTACTGAAGCCTTTTCGGAAACCCGCTTGTTCGGGAGTCTTGGAAGTCTTCGAGTCTGCGTGCGAGACGATTCGTAATGATTCTCGAAAACAGCACGTAGACGCGGCTCAGAAGGGAAATCGGTCTGTAGTTCGTTCGTTCAAGAGAGCGTTGTCGCCTTTCTTAAAGAACAAAACCACCGCGCTTCTGCTCCACGCCTCCGGAATAGTGCCACCATGGAGGACGGAATTGAAGAGCTTCTGAAGGACTTCAAGTAACGGTGTTCCACCCGCCTTCAGAAGCTCCGCTGTAATTCCATCCTCACCCGAGGCCTTGCCGTTTCTAAGGTGCTGGAGAGCCATTCTGATCTCGCTCAGACTGACGTCCGGGATATCATCGGAATAGTGTCGGATAAGACTTGCTGTTGGATCATTACTCACACTTACGTATTTTAACCCATGGAACAAGAAAATGGTGGTTCCAACGATGATGTGTACAGCTGCCCATAGAACTTCTCAATCCCACTCAAAATCTCAGGTGTCCCGGAAACCAACCTGTCACACTCGGTCTTCAGCTTTGACAGTTGGCTCTTTCTGGCAGACAGATCTCTGGCAAAGACTTTAGAAGCCCTGGTTCCGCTCGATTGTTTCTTCAATATGAGCTGTATTGAAGTTGCTTTAGTCCCGCCGCATGTATTTGGAGATCTGTCTGTTTAGTTCCCTGTATACTGTCAAATCGGTTGAAGGCTGCAGCTTCATTTCCCCTTTAACAGCCATGAGATTAAGAGTGTGATCGGAGAGTTTTTGTGTTCTTCTGCGGCGGGTCTTGCAGAACTTAGCTCCGACCGCATGGACAGTTTTCACGAGCTTGTCATTCATATCGTCCACTGCATTTAAATCTTCTAGGCACTGAAAACGGTTTTTTAACTCAAGCTGAAAGATTTCGGGACTTTGGATTAGAGCACGAGGGGGACGGAGCGTTGACTTCATTAGACGAGACCTCTTCAACTTATAAAAACTTAAAATTTAAATCTCTAACTTAAAATTTAGGCAATTTAGACCATTTAAATTCGACCTTATTAGATTAGGTAATTATATTTTTGATGTGTACCGTTGTGTGATAACTGCCAAAACATCGCAACGAAATCCATATTCGCTTCATCTCTTTGTTTACTTATTTATGGTATCGTGCAAGAACGAGAAGCAAAGAATATCAAACGAAGGACATCGGTTATTTCGTGTTGGTTATTGGTTTAATACTCAAAGGTGGGCCATGTTGGCACATCGTTCCAGGATAATTATGTGATGACGGTTATGTACTTAGGATTTTCGATATGATGTGATATTTTGATAACTTAACGTTTATTTTGTTTTGATATATTGGTCTCATGCCTACTATATAATAATGATATAACTATGGAGTGTTTCCACTACAATCCATAAATATAACTTTCCGTATGTATTACTGTACTCTTTGGATATAACTTAATTTAATACAGCCCTCAGTTTGGACGGGAACTTGACCGTAGACGGATTATCGGAAAAAAAATTACGCAGCGAGAAAGTAGAAAAATACGTTTTTCTTGTAAGATATTGATCTGGGAACATTGAAACCACTGCGAATCGTTTGCAAATTACCGATTCTGTAAATATTTCCTTTTTTGCGTTATTCGCTATAACAGAAATCTAAATATAAATAGAAGACGTAAAAGCGCATGCCGCAGATGTGTAATTTTTTATAAATGAAGTTATAAACTAACCATTTTTTTTACTTGAGAATTCAAATATTTTTTTTCGTTACGATTTATACAATATGGTACATAACCGCCCGAATTGGTGTAGAGTAGTTGACGAAAAAACAATTAATTTATTACTCAGTACCTATAGCGAATAACGCAATAATGGCAATATTTACAGAATCGGGAATTAATTTGCAAATGATTCGCAGTAGCTTCAATGTTCTTAGATGAATATCTTACAGGAAAAACGTATTTTTTTTACTTTCTCGCGGCCTAAAAAAGTTTTTTGTTTTTTTATAAATAATGTTATAAACTAACAAATTTTTTACTTGAAATTATAAATATTTCTAACGATTCCGCAATTATCCAATTTTTTCCAATACGATTTATACAAATTATTCGCGAACATCATGTAGCTTATGTTAACTATGCAAAATTCGTTGTATACTAGTGTAGCGGCGCTGCGCCGTCGTCGCGCCGCAAGCGAAACACACCGAAGCCTAAATCACGCTATCAACATTCGTTGTATACT